CCCTCAAAGGGTTTGGCTGGAAACCTGTAGACAAGCCTTGACAGACAAGATTTTAGGACAGAAAATCCAAAATGGCCGCCTTAACATTTCCCCAGAATGCCGAAAAACTATTCAGTTCTAAACTTTCATAGGTAGAAACATCCCTGAGAATTTCAAATGAATCCCTCAAACGGTTTGGCTGGAAACCTGTAGACAAGCCTTGACAGACAAGATTTTAGGACGGAAAATCCAAAATGGGGGCCTTTACATTTACCCAGAATGCCAAAAAACTAATCGGTTCTAAACTTTCATAGATAGAAACATCCCTGAGAATTTCAAATGAATCCCTCAAACGGTTTGCCTGGAAATTTGTAGACATTTAGCCTTGACAGACAAGATTTTAGGACGGAAAATCCAAAATGGCCACCTTAATATTTACCCAGAATGCCGAAAAACTAATCAGTTCTAAACTTTCATGGGTAGAATCATCCCTGAGAATTTCAAATGAATCCCTCAAACGGTTTGGCTGGAAACCTGTAGACAAGCCTTGACAGACAAGATTTTAGGACGGAAAATCCAAATTGGCCGCCTTAACATTTACCCAGAATGCCGAAAAACTAATCAGTTCTAAACTTTCATAGGTAGAAACATCCCTGAGAATTTCAAATGAATCCCTCAAACGGTTTGGCTGGAAACCTGTAGACAAGCCTTGACAGACAAGATTTTAGGACGGAAAATCCAAAATGGCTGCCTTAACATTTACCCAGAATGCCAAAAAACTAATCAGTTCTAAACTTTCATAGGTAGAAACATCCCTGAAAATTTCAAATGAATCCCTCAAACGGTTTGGCTGGAAACCTGTAGACAAGCCTTGATAGACAAGATGTTAGGACGGAAAATCCAAAATGGTCGCCTTACCATTTACCCAGAATGCAGAAAAACTAATCAGTCCTAAACTTTCATAGGTAGAAACATCTCTGAGAATTTCAAATGAATCCCTCAAACGGTTTGGCTGGAAACCCGTAGACAAGATTATTCGGGACGCCCACCCGCCCGCCTGCCTGGCAAACTGATTACAATATAGCACCTAAGGGTGCGATAATTAATTTCATAAAGAATTTGAACCAATAGAACAACCAGAACAACGGCAACGCCAAAGCGTAGCGAATCCCATCGAACAGAAATGGCTGGCGTTTTTAAAAGCGAAGCGCAAATATCATTAAACAACACACCAGAAAGGCCACCATTTTCAAAATGGTTGTTCACTAGCCAAGTTGTCATCAGAAGAAATAATATGCTTTTAAGTAGCCACCTCTAAAATTTTTGAAAAATCACACACGTACTTGTAAACACACATAAAACACACATTAAAATGGTGGCCATTTTTCAAAATGGCAGACTACTCCCCAAAGTTTTATTAGACAATGTGCCATGCTTAAAGTATTCACATATCAAATATGAACAAAATCGCTCCACTATTTTTCGAGTTATAGTAAAATACGTTAAAATGGCGGCCATTTTTCAAAATGGCCACCTTCTCCCAAAAGCGTCATTAGAAATAGACAGTGTGCCATGCTTATGGTATTCACATACCAAATATGAACAAAATCGCTACACTACACTTCGAGTTATAGTGAAATACGTTAAAATGGCGGCCATTTTTCAAAATTGTTTTCAAAATGGCTGCCTTCTACCAAAAGTGTCATAGGACAGTGTGCCATGCTTATAGTATTCACATACCAAATATGAACAAAATCGCTCCACTACTTTTCTAGTTATAGCAAAATATGTTAAAATGGCGGCCATTTTTCAAAATTTTTTTCAAAATGGCCGCCTTCTACCAAAAGTGTCATAGGACAGTGTGCCATGCTTATAGTATTCACATACCAAATATGAACAAAATCGCTCCACTACTTTTCGAGTTATAGTAAAATACGTTAAAATGGCGGCCATTTTTCAAAATGGCCGCCTTCTACCAAAAGTGTCTTTAGACAGTGTGCACTGCTTATAGTATTCACATACCAAATATGAACAAAATCGCTCCACTACTTTTCGAGTTACAGCAAAAATCGTAAAATAACGAGTAAAGACCGCCATTTTTCAAGATGGCTGCCATGTGCTTCTTTAATATCAACATTTCTAGCTTTATTAATGTCCTATATAATTTTTTTACATCTAAAACATATTGCTATTACAGTTTTACATATTGCACCTAAATTACTGTAAATTCGGCACTAAAATGGCCGCCATTTTGAAATGAGCGGCCATTTTGAAAATCGGCTTTCGAGCAGAACTTCTACCCCCATAGGGTATATGTGTACAAAATATGAACAAAATCGGGCCAACGGTATTTGAGTTATTGCCCGGACGGACGGACGTACGGACGGACATACGGACGGACGGACGTACGGACGGACGGACGGACGGACGGACGGACGGACGGAGGCGTTCCCTATATCCCTCCGAACTTCGTTCGATGGGATAAATACTCAAAGCTTTAATCAGAAAACAATTTATGCTTATTTAAATATAAATGAAAAAGTTACATTCGCAAATACAAGCTTACTCACATTATAACTAACACACAAAATCTGCATATGTGCATATAGCTATCATGTTTATTCTCTACAAAAGTTACTTCATTTAATTCATGAAACATGTATATAATTCCCATAGCCATGACCTCAGTAACATATCTTTGGTTCTTGACCTTTAACATTCCATTTTTCATTCCTACCTCTGGGAGAATCAGGACATGGTGGCTGATCAGGACAGGACACAGGGTTGCCTATTTCCACTAGGTGTTCCCTACAAGGCTCCCCAGTGTACTTAGATGTCTTGATTCTCTTCCTAGTCTGTATATTATGTCCCCCCTGACCACAGGCAGGCACACATTGAGATGACTCCCAGCTTTCCCATTCACTGTAGAAACAATCAGCTGAAAAGAAAATGACCATTAACAATCTGAACTGCTATATTCAGTCTACAGGCCCCAGCTTCAATTTAACGTACTGATTCAGAAACGACCTTAACTATTGGATGTAGTCATATATACTACAATGGTTGCCAATAATTCTGATATATCGGCCCCTTTACATTGATATATTATTAGAAAAAAAGTGAAGTGTGCTCTAATCACCATTTTTGCAAATACCATGCACTTCCTCTGTAAATGCACTGAACATTAAAATAATGAAAATACTATTTCCCCATTTTTAGCTGTTGTACCTTTCACAGCAGTATCAAAGCCTACTCTCCTACAGCCATCAGTGCATGAACAGTAGAACTTCACCATCATACCAGTGGGCTGTCCATTCAACTTCTGCTCAACAGACATTGTATACACCTCTCCCTCCAGCAACTCCACCTTCCTTGAGCCATCTAACACTGAACCTGAATTTTAATCCTTAAGATGAAGCACTCAGAGTCTTATATGTATAGGTTGCTTCTATTTTACCTAAGCTTACTGAAGCCAGATACTGTATGTAGAAGGAAATACCCACAGTAAAACATTTGATAACTCATCAAGTTAAAAAAAAAGAAGAGACAATTCTGTTGGTTCCCAAATACACTAACCAGAAATATCTACCAAAATATATTTGATTCATTATTTAGCAATACTTCTATGAAATCCACTTACAAGTGTGTATGGCACCCCTTATTTCCCCAAGTCCAGATATCAGCATGGAAAGAATCCATAAAAAGTAATTTGAGTTTAACATATCTTCAGTCCAAACAAGTGTTTACAAATTTTGATTCTTCCAATACTAATTGACTGCTATGAGCATTTCTGATTTTCATTCCGCATGATAAAATTCAGCGTAAAAAATTGTCCATATTTTATTTAACCTCATAATTGTGAGTTAAAACTGAATAATGAAGAGACTTTCATCAATTATAAGTTTTTTCCAATTAATAGACTTACAATCCTTCGATTTCATCATCCAAATATTAAAAGAAAAATCTCATTAATAATTCATATCAGCCAAGGGTGTTTTTGACATTGTATTGAATTTGCATAACACAAGTCAATCCTAATGCTTGTAAGATGATCTTTGATTCAAACATAGTTCAAAGTATTAATAATATTTTTTAAATGAGTTTTTTTTTATCGAAAAATGTTTCTTTCATCTGACGCATTAAAATGTACTTGCACTTGAGTAATAAACAAATTTTGGTGCCTGTTAAATGTTCTTCAGTTTTTTTGTCAATGGCTTGCATTTAAAATTTTACCAGTTCTTTGGGGTCAATTAGTACAGAAGTTTAAATTCAAGATTCAGCAACACATTGTTCTTTCAAAAGAATTATTAAACAGTCAACTGTACCAACTCAAATTATTGTTTATGCTTAATCAAGGAAACTTCACTGGGATACGCCTATCCTCCATTGGGTTTTCTGATAAATTACTTAAGTTTAAAATCAAAAAAAAGGAGTTACATTAAAGTGCTCTCCCAGCATTGCAGGGAACTGGGAGCTAAATACAATGTAGAAGTTTCCATATACGTTTTCCAAGGAAAATAATAGAGGAGAATCATTATTATGGAATCAAGGATAAGGTAAAATCATTAGAAGCCAAGAGAGGTTTATCTTGAAATTTCACCCCAGCAAACACACAATTTTAATAAAATGAGAACTTGATGATTTTGAAAAAAAATTGGTCAATTTGAATCAAGTTGAAAAAAGTCCTATTTGACCTTGAGAAGGTCAAATCTTTTTTTTGAGAATGTCACTGAAGGTCAAATCTATAGTCAGATTTGAACTTTTGAGAACTTGTACATGATTTTGAAAAACGAAATTGGTCAATTTGAAGCAAGTTGAAAAGACATTTTGACCTTTCTTTGATCTTGAGAAGGTCAAATCTTAAATCTAAAGTCATATTTGAACTTCTGATAACTTGTAGATGATTTTGAAAAAAAATTGGTCAATTTGAAGCAAGTTGAAGAAGACCTTTTTTGATCTTGAAAAGGTCAAATCTTGAATTTTAAGTCAGATTTGAACTTTTGAAAACTTGTAGATTTGGGAAAAAAATCTAAACAGTATTTGTTAAATAATTTGAAGTTTTAAGAATTTGTTACAGGCGCCAACCACCAACCGCTGCCACAAAAAACGGAGACCATAACAAAATGTCACCATTTCTTGGTGGTGACATAACTATAATAACTAGTTATAAGGAACAATTTCTTCATTTCAGATCTTCAGATACAATATCCACCACATATCTAATCGTAACAGGAACATTGCAATTGCATATTGTTTTTCATATGATACTTTTTTTTATTAATTTTCACAATACTATTTCTCTAAAATTAGGATAGATGGAACATGATTTTTAAGATAGTATATATACATCATTCATGCTTATATATAAAAATACATTTTAAGCAGTTTACACCCTCCAATGCCAAAAATGCATGAAGTTTCTTCATCAAACTGTCAAATCAAACAATTTTATTCAAATACATCTGTTTTTACATAATAAAATTCAGAATATTTAGTTTTTGTTGTTTTCTTAATGAGTAAACTCTTAATTAAAATCAGTATAATAGGGCCAATGTAACACTACATGCCATAAATGAAACAATTTTGCTATAATTAGTATTACAAAACTAAATACTGATTGTCATTAAAAGTTGAGAAAAATATTCACCAATCTGGTCTATAATTTTGCTATACCTTGATACAATACCACAATCCATCAGTATTTATAGTTTACCTAAATAAATAATAAAAATGCAATCTGACAAATACATAAATCAACTTTATGAATTGAAAAACGGTTGCTAGAACAGAAATCAACCTCAATTGGAAGTGTATATAAATTGTGAGGTATATTACTGAATATATTCATTACAAGTAGTGAATGTAACAAAAAATATACTGTAGATCAGGTATGCTCTACACACTCAGCAAAACGGCTTATCAATTTCAATTTCACAAAAGTAAATCTCTAATTTCAATTTGAAAAATGAATGAAAAGGCAAGAATTCAACAAACATATTTTAACAACGTAGCACCCAAGGGTGTGATAACTATTGTAGTAGAGTTGAAATGTGTTTGTTAAATACGAATTATTGTCACTGCCCTTTTAGGTATTTCATTTACATACTGCAATTGTAGGGCAAAGCCTGCACTCATTCAAAATCCAGTGTCTTAATCCACAATTCATTATTTCACCGCCTGTATCTCTCGGGGGTACGACTACGTCTATGTCCATTACTATGCTTCTTAGCCTTGGGCTTATCATAGTACTTGGAATCATATTTCTCAAAACTACGATCACTGGTGTATCGATCTGCAGAAATATATCGGTCCTTGTCTTTATAATATGACTTCTTACTAGTTTTATAGTCTGGTGATCTACTGTATGAGCGTCTATTTGTATATGGAGACACTGAGGTTTTACGTTTCCGAGTTCTACTCCAATCATCTCGTTTCGATTCTTTCTTGTATTTTCTATGGGGACTTTTATATTTTCTGCGTGGAGATGAGCTGAAACTGCGACTTCTACTCCTACTGGAGAAACTCCTGAAATCAAACACATTTTTTAATTGACACATAAAAGCACATTTTTTAATTGACACATAAAAGCACAGTTTGCAATTCTTACTAAAACCATTTGTGGGTACTATTTTTTAGGAGGACTATCTTCTTAAGAAAAGTTGTGACACTATGTTAATTTAAAATAGACCAAATAATCTGATAACTAGTACTTAAGTTATCAGAATTTATAATTCTTGTGTTGAATAGTGGCCATTTTTAAAAAATTAACTTTTAATTCAGAGACCATCTTGAAAATGACTTCTATGTCCCGAGGGCATGGGCATATAATATCTGAACTAAATCCACCAACCCAAGGCAAAGATAAATAACATTTTATATGAAAATTTGTGATCATTCTGAATTGAACGGATACATTGAATATTCCTTTAGAACAGATATTCATCAGCCCAAAAAAATCAAACCAAGACCATGAAATGGATTTGAGTTATTGCCTGGACAGATGAACAGCTCCCATATTTCCCGTCACAGTGGAATTACCGATTTTCTCTCAAAAACAACAAAAACACATACCTTGAACGACTTCGACTATAATGACGTTTCTTTTTCTTTGACACATAATTGTTACGCCCACTGAAAAACAAAATTTTAGTACATTCGATTTTACTATTCATTTTTTGCGCATGAACTCGGTATGGAAGCCTAAATGATGTAAAAGTTACAAGTAATATAATCAATTACTTTTTACTTGGCTCATCTTGAGTCTATTTTGCCAATAAAAAAGAAATCCAACGTTAACTACATCATATTTGAAGATTTCTCTGAAGTTTCATTAGAATTTCTGATAATAAAACAAAAACAAACACTGTATTATCACCTATTGGCGCACAGTGCGCTTGTGAAATTGAGGTGAAATACCATGGAATAGGAGAGAAATCAATCCAATAAAGTCCCAATAAACTCAAAACTATTGAACATCTAACCATAATACTAAGTAAAACAACAGCTGATGGAATCCTATTTGATTACATTCCTACCTTCCACTGTGATCAGATGTGTCCTCGTCCTTCTGTCTCTTCAGATTTTGGACACTCAGAGGTGAAGGACTAATATTTTTGGGAGAGTCTAAAAAAACAACAAATCATGATTTATCAATCTGAGATACTCAGCATAGCCAGTAAGAAAATGGCATAGTCATGATGCAAAAAATCCATTTGAGTATACAAAATTAGCTACAATAAATCACTGTACAGTACATTTCACATTTTAATTTAGACCTCCAGCTTATGAGTAACACTGGTGATCCACTCGATTACGCTGGTTACCAAAACGAACAGTTTTGGTAAATGTACATATTTGCGAAAAAATAGCTCAGAGGACAACAGAATCGTTGATTTACTTCCTCACTTAAGTTACATAAACGGTTTTTTCGAAAAACAGTTAAGATCTGCACTTTTAACCCAAACCGTTTATGTAACTTAAGTAGGAAGTAAATCGACGATTCTGTTGTCTTCTGAACTATTTGTTCGCAAATATGTACACTTTCTTAAACATATGATACCTGATACACGTTTGTGTTAAAAAAATGTCGTGAGAATTCTGCCTACAACGTGTAAAATAAGGAAACGAGAAAAATCGTACCTTCCGGATGTTCCGACATTTTGTTACCAAAACGAACCGTTTTGGTAACCAGCGTAATCGAGTGGATCACCAGTGAGTAAGGCAATATCTTTACATTGTAACTGAACTGTATTAAGAGCACTGTAAGGTTGGGTGCCCCGAGAGATTTCATGCTGTGGTGGCAAAAGTATGGCAGCTAATATAAAATGTTAATGCTTACTATGTGTAGAATTTGGAGTATTGGAAGAGGACAGTCCCTTCATCTTCAGCTTGGCTTCAACATGGAGCTTCTTACACTCATTCACCTTTGCTTCAAGTTTGTCTAGGTTAGGCTAAAATATACAATACTTTTTATGTAGCATCAAAGTATCCAACAGGTAATACAGAGTATAAAATACAGGGGGACAGAAAAATGCGATCATCAATTTTGGAAAAACTTTTTCATAAACAATGGATATTCTTGTAAAGTGAAGTGTTCAATGCATGAAGCAATGGTGTTCTTACATGGCATTAACAACATTGGGGTTAAGAGAGATTGTACACTTTTCATCTATCAATGCTCTCATCCAAAATTGCAAGTTCATGAATCTGTTCTATAAAAGTGGGTTGTTAAGATTTAATATATTATTGATAATATGCAGTGTCTCCCCAGGATTTTTTCTTAAGTGGGTGCAAAATTTTCATTTAACAATTAAAGTCCAAAATTGGTCAAAATATGCCCATTCAAACATGATTTTTGCCATTTCAAGTGCATGCAAATGAAATCTCAGGTGGGTGCAAGCCTATTTTCAAAATGTCAGATGGGTGCTGCACTAAAATGGCCGCCTTTTTAAATGAGCGGCCATTTTGAAAATCGGCTTTTGAGCAGAACTTCTACCCCTAAATATGAACAAAATCGGATCAACGGTATATCCCTCCGAACTTTGTTTGATGGGATAATTAATTTTACCTTCCTTAATCTAAGATAGCAGTCAACCATTAAGATTTGAAATTCTGAATAAAATTCAGTATACTTTAGATTACCTTTGAGCGGGCGTAGAGCCTGAGGATTGTAAGGCAAATCTCTGTTATATGGTGTTCCTCTTGGTTTAGTATAGAGAACCAAGGTGGATTGTAAGGAAGGGGAATCTGTAGCTGTCTAGCAGCCAGGTAAATGCAAGCACATGCTATCGTCTCAGGATCATATTGCACAAAGACATCTGTTCGGAAACTATCATTCATGTAGTTCCTATAACAAAAGAGTATACATTTATCTTGCTCTTTAACTATCATTAATCTATCAATTTTTGAAGCATTATTTTTAAACCATAGTGCCTTATATCAATTTTCCATTTGAGATTCAATTTGAACTACTATGCAAAAATAAGTGCCGCCAAAGATTAATAGATTGATGTTTGATACAGTTTCAAAGTTTGAAAGTATTTTGTATACAGTACTTTATATGTAATGATTTCGAATATAAAGGGCCCATATAACAAGTGAAAATCATAATTACCTTTTCAATCAATTCCACAGAACACCATATCTGGTCTTTGGACATTGGGTTAATCAAATCAAGATTTTCGGATATACTCAAAAATGGAGAAAACAAATACATATGAAATTGTTCTGATAAACTTTTATATGGATTTTTATCAAAGGCAAAGGAAGATGGTTCAAAATTAATGTGATTTTAGTCAATGTTCTTATATGAAGATGTATCAATATTTACTTGTATTTTTATGTTATTTAAATTGAATATATCAGAAGATCATGATTTCAATAAACCAATGTTTTCTCTAAAATAAAACGTTAACAGCAACTGATGCAGAATATATAGCAATAGTCTTACTGGTGGATTTTACTGTTATGTGTAGCTTAACTCCATCTTTGGGTCCAGCCGGGATCTCTGTGGGCCACTAAAACACATGGATCTCACAGGAGATTAGCATTGGGACATTCTTGGCACAACTATGCAGAATGTGTACTTTTTAACTTTTAAGTTATTGTCTTTACTTCAAAGTTCTTGAATATCAAACTGCTCCATGCAAAAGTTACTTTATAACATTGATGTTTGTTTAATCCATTTCTAGCTTTCCAAAATCCTTATTTTTACAACTAGGATTAAAGCTAATAGTTTATCTATAAATAGATCTTATATTATGCTCTAATTAACACAACCCAATGGCACTATGCCTTATTCTGGCAACCTAGATTGTATCCTCCACGCTGCTGCGAAGCTGGTGGCTTGCGAGTAGTGAGGGTGGAACATGTTAGGCTGAGGGGTCCCTTCTGCTCTTGGGTATTCCCGTTCAGCATCACACTAGCTTTCCAACCAAGTCCAGGGCAACAAAGTTGTCCACGCATACAGTTTGGTGCACTTTCTTGCACATTTCTACCCTCCTAAGCTGGGGTAGAGAAAATAAAAATAACAAGTTAATATGGGCCCTTTACTGTACATTTAAGGAGATGGATATGAGACGCTTTTCAACCCTAAGAGGAGAGTGCCATCAGGGTAACCTGTTTAGATGAACAATTTATTATTCAACAAGTGAACAAATTGCAGCAAATGCATTGATCCACTCAACAGCATCCTGTGAATTTTCTGTTGCACCCTGCAAAAAGCACATTCCTAATTCAGAGTTGCAAAGCGCCCATCCAACCTTCAGCAACAAGACTTGCAGAATGTGTGAACTTGTAATCATTGCAATTCAGCCACCTACTTTTACAAAGTTTATGATATGAATACGATTCTTGGGAAAATAACAACTTCAAGCAATAAACAAATACATACAAATGAATCTTCATCTGTATCATACAATGGCAATGACATTTTACTAATAAGAACTTTGTATACTATCTAAATTCTATAATTTCACTCACATTTACAAAATTGTACATGCATTAAGATAACAAAATATACAAGAATCATAAATACATGATCAAAAAATATTTAATGAGTAGGTGAATGAATTACTTAATAATATAAAAATATGAATATATAGATTGCCCAGCAGAATTCATTATACAAAGAAACAATTTGTGCCTAATCGTTAATGCTTTTAAGCAAGTTGTGTTAAGTCAATTGGTTGTAAGGATGTCATACAATTCTGCAAGCTTGTGTTAAAAAATAGTATACCATTATGCTACATAACTCTAGATAGACAACGGATCTTTATATGAGAATAAGTTATTAAAATGAGTTACTAAGTGAAACTTACCATGCACACTGCACCAGCTTCACGTTGGATTCACAATCCAATACTTGGAGGTACATTACAATCACCTGGAGAGAAAAAGTACAAGTTAATCCATGTTTGAGTGTTCAATGTCTGCATACTCTACCAAGGTGTTTAATACAACCATCATAGTTGCTAAATTAGCCTGAAACCAGCACACTGGTGCCATCTTTACAAGGCTTGTATGGATACACAACACAAGCCACATCACTATAATATGAAAAAAATATAACTTTTATAAAATAGAGAAAATGGATTAGTTGAGACATTCAGTACACAAAAATGAACCCATGTGTATCTTCAAACCTCATAGCTTGAATTTTTGCTACATTTATTTTTTTATGATATTTATTATTTATAAACCAGACCTTGGACATGGGTATTGCAACTCAAGGATTTCACTGAAAGTGGGTTGAGCTACACAGGGATTGTCCAACATACTGGTAGCCCTTTTATATATAGTTTTGTTTGGGTGAGGCATAGTTTTCTGCTAATCAATAAAATACTTGGCCAGCTAACTTGCTCATTTTTAAAGATTGAAAATGAATGACAAGATAACCTGAAAGATGTTTAAGTATACTTTTTGCCAATCTTCAATAATTCATTATACGAGCAAGAAACAATGTAGCATATTCACAAATGCCTTCCCCAACTAATATAAATGAGCTACATAGTTGGAACTGAGGAATCAATGAGGTGGGAAGAGCACATGGGTAAATAATATGTTCTCACCTTATGTGGATGTTTCACATGGACACAGAATCCAAGTTCCTTGAGAAGACGTCTTTCAGATTTGATCACCTGGTTTTTCAAGTTGATATAGTTCTGATCTAGAATTAAGGGTTGAATATTCCTGCAAAACAATATTAAATCATGAGGGACTAGACATGAAGGTGATATTAAACTTATGTTTATTATCTATCTCTCGCTTTAATTTCAGTTAAGATGTGTATGGTTAGGTGATCTGATTAAAAGGAATAAACAAGTTTCATACATAATAGATAGGAGAATGTAACTAACTGAGATCACATTGAAACTGACCAATGCTTATGTTGTAAAATATGATTAATAGTGGTATAATGAGTGACTCGAGTGACTCTGTCTAACAATAACAAAACAAAAAATAAAATATTACAGGATGTAAGGCACATGCGTCAGGGCTCTCGCCAGACTTTTAGACTGTGGCGTGGCACCACACTCTATTTAGCTCCCTCTACACCCTATTAGCAAATCATGACTGTTTCCACAGTCTAAACTTGACTGAATAGCATGTAAAAAGGATAAAACATAACATAAATATGATTTATCACGATTGAATGGTCATTCTGAAGATGTTAGCACCACACTCTTAATATTTCCTGGTGAGAGCCCGCCCTGTGCGTAGTGACTTGTTTTGTAAAGTAGATCAAATCAATTTAAAAACTTTGTTTTCACTCATTCATCAGTAAATAACATGTTTTGCCGACATTTTCTGACAGCCATGTCAGGAGAATGATATGCAACATTGAAGAATAACTTACATGAAAAGTATTGTCTCAAGATGATCAGTGAAAAGCATTATAACTTGCTGAGGAATAAAAATTTGTTTTAGTTCCAGTTTCGATTTAGCAGTTATCAATTTAACCATGATTAACTCGCGAGTGAATGCCTTCCAACTCAACTCAACCAAACTAACCTGCCCTCTCTAACTTGTTTGACATGATGAAATACATTAATAACATCTCGGATCCTTCTTGGAGATTCTTCAATTTTTGAAGCAAGGTTTATGCATGCCATTGCCACAACCTATAAAATCAGAATGATTCATTTAATATATAACAATTTGTGTTCACACAACAATAACTTTCAAACCAAATCAGATTGAACTTTCTCAATGAAATTAGATCCCCTTCAATTCATTTCTTATCACTCTCCCTAGTTTTCTACAAGTTGAAATCTGTAAGAGAAATAAGTCAATTCTGCAAGGAAAAAAAAGGCCAGTTCTGTGGCATTTCTCCACATTTTTAATAATAGCAACCTTTTTTGGATTTTCTACTGTGATCTACTACTATTTGACAGAAAAGGCACAAGGGCCAGCAAACAAATTTGCAGCTAGCAAATGTCAAGGGAGTGCAATTTTTTAGGTTTGCATCACTGTAAGAGAAGCGAGCTTCAAAAAGGGGTACAAGGATTCACAACCGGAAGTTTTTTAAATTACATCGTATATGGTGCATTCTAAGCATTTCAAACTATAATTACAAATTTGCCTTTTTCTTTTTTATTTGGGGAGGTGCGATTGCACCCATTACCCCCCCCCCCAGCTACACCCATGAGGCAGAACATCCTATCACTGTCTGCATACATATCATTTGGGAACCTTTTCACCCTATCTTTTGAATGTTGTGTGGCTACTTTTACCATGGGATCATTTTGACCATAGCCAATAATTCTTATTTCCAGGATCGGCCATCTTGGACTTAGATCTCGCCTATCTAAGATTTAGATTTATTTCAATAGGAAGTTTAAATCAATGGGAAGTTGAATTAAGTATTCAGAACATTTGTCGGAACAGAGTGACTGCGTGTATTAGATTAAAATAATTTGATCATCAAGGTCTATTTGGTAGCGAAAAGCTCTTCAAAACTCTTCAAAGAGAAGGAGTAAAAAGAATGAACCTCTTTTGATACAAGATATTGAAAGAAATTCAAGGGCCAGAAGTTGTGAAAGGGTAAAATGTTCTTGTTCCGGAACCGAAATTCTTATTTTTTGTTCTGTGTTCCATTCCGAAGGCATAATTCCGCAGATCGCAACTAAATCGGGTATCCGTGACACCTAGAGCTGGCATCGAATAGGATTTTAATGTCGACATGTCGGAGCTCTCAATCGACAACGCTATTGACATTGTCAGGTCCAATGATATTCGAAAAATGAAAAAAAAATTTGAAGAAAATCAGTCTGAATTTTAGATTTTCTAGGCTTGTAATTAGCAATACGATGCACAATAGTCATCCTCAGTTGTATGTTTTATATTTAACTTACAGGTAAACCATGTTCAAGTATCAGACTTTGACGAAAAAGCAATAAATAGACATAAAACTACGATTTCTGTTGTTATTTACGGGCAGCCATTGAAAATAAATCTCGAGGGTAAATCTCGAGGGGCCCCGAGACCTAATTCGAGAGCAGGAAGTCGATCAAAACAAAAAAGAAAATTTGAAAATGTAGTCGGTAAAACTTCCATTAAGTACACCATACAGCAGGTAGTAACAAGGATTTTAATTCATACGGGGAAATAGCTTATTATGTTGTGAGTTCCGACTGTCGATCAAGAGGCGCTGTGTCGCCATGGTTGTCACAGAGAGCATTCGACTGACAATTGACCATTCCGACATTTGATGCCAGCTCTAGTGACACCTCTACCTACTATGGATTGGACACGCATTTGACTTCAAAAAATAAGGCAAGTACATATTTTTGTAAGTAGACCAAAAATTAATGATTCAATTAAGGCATTTAATTCTAAAAATTGATTTTTTGACCGTCGGACAGGAAGGTGTTTAGAGCATAATGAAGTCCTACAAAAGACTTGTTTTGTATGTAAAAAACGACAAAAATCAGCGACAGAAGGAAACATCCCTGTGGTCAAATAGATCCACAACAAATCAATCTCATGTAGCCAAACCTCAAAAAAGAAGCAACTAAAAAAAGGCCTATGTTAGTAACGTCTCATCAACTTACCACTTACTTCCTGCGAAAGCTATGTGGATTTTGATATAATAGCTTTCCAACGGCGCACTTGGACAGCTGAATAATAGTGACCTTTAAAACATGAATAATGAAATCCGCGGCTTACTTTTGGTCTAACTATGTCTTACATCAGTATCATCAATCCGTGCAAGTATTGGAGCGCTAAAATACTTCTTTTTCGATCAAGACTTGTAAATTGTTCATCGAGTGAATGTTTTTTCGACCCATTTCCAATATGGCGGTTTGATAAAGATAAAACACTTATTCTCGGGATAAGTTCAAATGGTGAAAATAACGAAATAATAAAATGTTACCTTATGTCTACTTAGCAGTTTGTTCTATGTCATTGTCATCCCTCCTGCAAGGTTACATTGTGGAACTCAGCCAAACACGACACTGGAGCAAGCGTTTCAAAATATTTACTACCGTTTTCTTTGAAGACATGGTTGGGTGACACATCATTATCGATACAGTAACTAGTCACTAGTGGAGCAACGATTGACTCGTGGACTCGAATACTACTCGCCAAACCCTGTAAATACGATTCATCGATTGGTAAATTCTGACTCGAATTGAAAAAAAAATGAAAAAATGATGAAGAAAATGTGATTTACCCACCTTTCAACCGCAATTTACGTAAAAAAAAACACATCCAATGTACAACATTTCTGTACAATGTTTAGCAATGATGCCTTCCTTAATATATAGCATTGTAGTTTGATACCTTAACTGAAATAATAAATCAAATACGATAGGCTTTCTCGTGTTTGTTTTTATTTATTGATTACATCCGGTTGCGCATGTGCAATGCAATATTTAACGAGGTCAAACCAATTAGCGTAAATTGCTAAATTATTTACTTTTCAATGCAAAACAAGAACATATAAAGTGTATTGAGTTATTCTATTTGAATAATTTGATGGGTATGTTGGAGTTATTCAAGGTAGGTTGAGCCGAGAACACTTGAAAACATTGCTACCGGAAGTGAAAGTTTGTAACTTTCCGAAGAAAGTTTTTCTGAACTTTTTTTCCAAAATCATACATTTAAATCGCGAATAAATCGAGTGTTCAAGAGCCTCTACTCGAGTAGGATAATTCACACGAGTCCCACCACTACTAGTCACGTGATCAGACACGTGTTACGCGATCAGTCACGTTGCAAAATGGACGATCTAAATTTCCCAAAATTCTGCTAAGATCAATATCGACATGTTGTTGGCTTCATTGTCGTGTTTGGCTGCGTTCCACAATGTAACCTAGCAGGAGGGATGACATAGAACAAACTGCTAAGTAGACACACGGTAACATTTCATTATTTCGTTATTTTTACCATATGAACTTATCTTTAGAAGCGAGATAAGCAATGAACGAAATGAATTTTGAGAATGAGTAGGTTCGGACAACCTCCGGAGATTTACGAAAAAGTCCGAGCAGAAAACACAGAAAATTCGTGTTTCAAAGGTCACTATTATTCAGCTATCCATTTCTCCGTTTGAGAGCCATAAGTTTCAAAATCTAGCTAATACATGGCTCTCGAAGTGAGTAACTTACCACCATATTGTGTTTGACAAAGGACTTGGAATAGTAGAACCGCTGGAACAGAACTTGTCCCGTGGCCATCGCTACCTAAAATACAGAAACACATTATTTATTGATTGAAGATACTAAATGCAATATTTAATATATTTCAAATAATGTGAAGAGGGTGTACAAACTGGACAAAAATTCGAATTTTTTACGAACCTGCGGAAGTTTGAGCAATATTCCTGAAGTCTGAATTAGTTCACATCCTACGATTCGCAAATCAATTTCGGTGTCCTTGTCTAATCCATCAGACATCGAAGGAGTAGGTGACAACTTATCTGGGGGTATAAGAACGTTATCTAGTGTCAAAATAACTTTTGAAAAGTCACGAACCATAGTTCCTCCTTTTTCAAGATCCGCCATCTTTGTCGTTCTTGGCACGATACAATCACGTGATCCTATATATCACTCCGCTGTTTAGAACTATATCTAATTATTCTAACTTGTGACTTGCAATATTATAACATATAAAATGTAATGAATGTAAAAACGTAAGATATTATGAGAATCTGTATTACATAGTAAACTTATGTTGTTTATATTTTAGTGTTACTCTTTTTCTCGGAAGTTCAAAACTGCAGTGATTAGCCTAAGTGTACCTTTTTTCGTTCAGTGCAAATCAATTTCAGTAGTTTCATAGAAGAAAAAAACACATTCTCATGGGCATTCAATAGAAGTGTATTCAACTCTGTGTTATTACATGAGAACTTCAAAATGAGCGGTGGCATGCTTCCCTTTATTGGTAGTATTTCAAAAATAAAGTATACTGTATAGAAAAACAAGGGGAGATCTTTACTAGATCTAGTCTAAACACAGATGGCTCAAAAGCCAAAAAGACTTCTCTCAGTAAGGTGATCTCCAAATCTTCAAGATTCTCAAAGATAACTACCGAATACAAATCAGCACATGCTATCTATTGCAAGACTTATGCCTGACACAACCGTCACCATGTTATTCAGTGTTTTATTTGCAAGGATTCTGCCATGACCGTGTTATTGTTATCGTGAAAGCCTGGTATAACCGTGACAATTGCTGTATATGATATTGCAAGGCCTGTCCTGACTGTGGTAATGTTAAAGTCTTATATGACTGTCAGTATAGCATTGTCACGGTCATATCAGGCTTTAACATTACCAAGGTCATGACAGGCCATGAAATATATAATCTAGCATTGTCACGGTCATACCAGGCTATCACGATAACACTACCACGGTCATGGCAGGATCCTTGCGAAACTTAAAAACACTATAATAACATGGTGACGGTTGTACCACAGGGGTTTACGGAAAAGACCGACCCCACCGACCACCGACCGGTCGGTGTTTTCCATAGGTAGCCTCAAAACAGGGCATAAGTCTTGCAACAGATAGGGTCTCCAAATCAGTGACATCGCCCAGAAGTCAGATAATACCAGGACAAGAGAAAATACAGAAAAATTAAATTATAGATATAGCAGACTTGATGTGAGAAAAAATGTTCTTGGCAACAGAATTGTAACACCTGGAACAGTCTACCCCAGTCTGCCATTGATGTGGAAGGTACAGCTGTATCAACTTACTCGAGTCTCTAGCCAACTCAGTGGCCATAGCTAGAATATGGTAAGTATCAACCAGTTCAAGAATGAAATAGACAGACATTTAGCCAGCCAGATGTACCACTACCATAGCTGATTCTCTAAACCCATGTCTGGTGAGCATTATAACAACTACCAACTACTTATAATAAGACACAACACAAAAAGATGGATCATATAGGAAACATCCTTCTTCCAGAACTATTGGTATAGAAGGTATAAAGGTAGCATTATCTTGAAGAAAAATCAATTTTGAATTTGATTAAAACATGAAACATGATTAATCTCATTTAAAAGTAAACAACAAAGGCCAATAAACATGGGCGTAGGGCTATATTTTTTAGTTGGTATGCACACTCTGGGATGCCTGATTGCGTGGCCAAAGGCCGCGCATCGCAGGGGGTCCGGCATCAATAAATTCGCAAATAAATTAATGCATTTTAACACATTTTTAATTTTTCAAATTCATTTGGTATGCCAGAGTGTGCGTATTTTGCATGGTGAATCAAAAATCAAAATGTTCTCTTTGAGTTTTGCATTGTGGGTAACAAAGGCCAAGGGAAAAGTATAGCCGATTTATAGCCAAATGATAATCTTCGACATGACTTGTTTGTAAGTTTAAATTGAGAAAACAAAAAGGTCGTATATAGGAGGTTCATCCATTTTGTTACATTGATGTTCCGTCAAAGTAACTAGTTGTGGAACAGTGATTTACGGGGTATACTTTTCATACCAATAATTACTGTTAGTCTAGGCTACCAGGTGCCTGGACCAGGTGCACAAAAATGTCAGGAACACAGAGATATAAAATGTATACTGTAATTTCTGTTAGAATAATTGTAAATGATATTATATTTTTGTAATTTTTAATCATGTATTGTATATATGCTATTTAAAAATGGAACACACAGATGTATTGAAAGCTGGATAACATTGCTTACTCCTTTCAAGCCAATTTACACTTTGGTTGATGTTTCAAAGCAATGTTTCAATGGGCTTTCAACTAGACCCATGTTCAAAGTCACGAAATTATGAAACATGGCAGTTGACCATTTAGCACTATTTATTTTGATTCCAGACATTTGCTGAATGGCGGAGAGAAGTATGTCTCGAGATCAATCAGGCCAACATGCTTCACCCATGGGGCATGTTGTACATCAACCTAGATGTAGTGTACAGACCCCTCAAATATCAATAGTTCCTGTGTCTGATGATACAAGGAAAATGAGACGTGTTGGTTGGGCACATGATTCAGCTCGACGCTGCTCCTATATACAGATGGGTATAGGAACATTTTGCTTTGTTCTCCAGCTCATTGGCTCTGTAATTGGAATAGGCGGTGCTGAGTACTATACAGGCATATGGGCAGGCCTGTTTTATATCTTCACCGGACTGCTTGGGTACTTTGCTGCCAAAATTAAAAACACCCCACGGATTGTTTGCTACATGGCATTCAATTATACCATTTTAATAATAATCTTCATAGCTACTTTGACATTTACCACAATAGCTATCAACAGAGATTATGCTATAAAAAAACCATTGCGTGTATTTAACATTATTCTTCTGACTAATCACATAGTAATGGCTTTTGTTGCTCTGATTGCATCCAGCTTATCATGTCATGGAGCTTGTTGCCTAGAAGGCTGCTGTAGTTGCACATGTTTGGATACTGACGCAGTGCCAACATATGTAGCTGAGCCAGTTCTGCAACAGAAAGTGATATACATACCAGTAGCTGTCACACAGGAGAACCCTGGATCTCCTGAAGGAGCACAAGCATTGCCACCAGGAGCACAATACACTACCCAGAGTGTTCCTGCACATAATGTGCAATATCCAACACAAGGTGCAAGACTCCCACAAGAGACATATCCTGTAGAGGTGAACCTGTCAGCTCCATCGCTTTCTAATATAGAACCACCTCCATCATATGACACAGTTGCTATGGAGATACTTCAGGAAAGTTAAATGCACTGAAGACTTCTTGCAAATGACCTATATTTCATTATCCCACCGAACGAAGGGAAGAGAAGGGATTTTTCAAGATGACAGCTGAATTTCAAAATGGCCGCCATTTTTCATAAAAGAACGTAACCTTTGATAACTCAAATACCAGTTGATGGATTTGGTTCAAATTATATATGCTGATGCCTAGAGACAAAGAATTGTTCTGCTCAAGAAGACATTTTCAAGATGGCCACTGAATTTCAAAATGACCGCCATTTTAGGTAAAAAAACATAATAATTGATAACTCAAATACCAGTGGATGGATTTGGTTCCAATTTTATAGGCTGATGTTTAGGGAAAAGGAGATCTGCTTCAGAAGAAATTTCAAAGGCGTCAGCTGAATTTCAAAATGGGTGCCATTTTTCATAAAAAAGGTAATCTTTGATAAATTAAATACCATTGGACATATTAAATTTTTTATACTGATGCCTAGAGATAAAGGAGCTCTGCTTGAGAAGAAATTTTCAAAGTGGCTGCTATTTATCGAAATCTCCGCCATTTTTCATTAAACATGAAATCCTTGATAACTCAAGTACCGTTGATGGATTTGGATTAAATTGTATATGCTGATGCCTTGGGACATAGGAGCTCTGCTAAAGAAGAAATCTAAAGATGACAGCTGAATTTCAAAATGGCAACCATGTTTCATAAAAACATAATCTTTGTTAATTCAAATACCAGTGGATGGATTTGGCTCAAATTTTATATGGCCGCTATTTATCAAAACATGTTTTGTTCGCTGGGATTTGCTCCATGGAGTTGCTGTTTTTCTAGTTCTAAATGGTATTGTTTCAACAACCAGGTAATACCAGGAAGACTTTTACATAAATGTCATATTTTGGTATTATCACTTACTTCATTTTTGAGCTAAAAATTGGTGAAGTTGTGTTATATCTTGACATTCAACAAAAATTTGTTAATATTTAAACAGTCACAAGAGATGATTATATTGATGATAATGAGTAATGTATAAATAGGGGTTATGCACTGGGATGTTTGGATTTGGAATATCCCAAGGGATAAACAATATAATAATAGGTATGCGCCCACCTCAGGGGTAGATCTGAAAACTAACAAGAATCCATTTGCACTCAACTGAAAATGAGAAAATCATGAAAAATAGGGATATTTTGACCAAATTTGGTTTAAATTATGAAAATAAGAAGTATGCACCCACTTGAGATAGAAGGGATATTTCCTACATCAAAACCAACTGTACAAAAGTTGTATTCCATACCTGATGAGGTTTGAAATATGAAGAATGTATCTATATGCTGATGTATTAACTTACAATATATATATAATTATTTTAAAGTAGGAGTTCCCCCTTAATGGCCAAGTACTCCTTCAGTACTTGAGCATCCAAATGAGTTTTCTTTGCCACTTTGCCATGTGTTCGGTTTTTTTTTGTGTTTACTAAGAATTCATCCACATTATTTGTTATAAAGTTTAAATTTTGTTCCCTCCATTCTTTCATCTTTGTCTTTTATTATTTAATTCAGTATTGAAATATACATGTACTGAAGTATATTCCCTGTGTCAAATAAGTCTGTTCTCCCCCCTTAACTTTTTTTTTTATCTTTAAATTTATCATACTTTCCCATATATCATTTTGAAGCTTATGGAAAATGCTGATCACCCACAAAAAATCAATCATAAACTCCTCCTAATAAAATTGCTACAATTTTTCTTGTAAAGTTGTAGTTGACCTTTGATTACGTCAAAACAAGTAATATTACCAGGTCATTGTGATTGAAAAGTGAAAATGATACTGCAGTGACAATGCCAACATTGGGTGACTCCGATGTTTCTCAATATCGTTACAGAGTAAAATGTGTTACATTCAGGGGAGCTTTTGAAGCAGGGGCATCTTTCATCACAAAATAGTTGATATCAGCCAAAATTAAACGTTCTGTATGATTTTAACGGGATCATATCCTTGTATAATTGAGGCCATCTGGGCTGCTGGGGGAGACATACAAACTATTAAAAAAGGGAAATATAGACATCACTAAAAACACTCTAAAAATATGGGAATTTAACCAATCACTCTGAAATTTGGTGTGTGATCAGCA